AAAATCAATTAATTGAAAATACCTTTGTACACAATCTTTTTCAGGTAAATTATCAAGAAGATTTATAATTTCTTCATCAATTTCTTTATCAGTTTCTTCATCATGAGTTTCTTCCTCATTATTTGATTCTATTTCAATATTGTTTAAAGTAGGAAGTATACCAGTTTTGATCCAATAGTTTCGAATGGTTTTTTGAGTAACATTATTCCATCCTTCAGCTATATAGTCAATAGCTTCTTTAATATTTAATTTATTACTATAATTAAAATTAAATTAATAATGTAAAAATTATAATTAACCCAAGTTAGCATAATAAATTTTAATGATTAAAAAAATTATCAATAATAAAATTAAAAAAATTAATAAATAAACTTACTTTATATAATCTATTCCAGAATCAAATTGTCAAACCAAATGTTTACAAAATTCTTGTTTATATTTTGCTTTAAAACTATGAATAATTCCTGCATCCATAGGTTACAGATGAGCTGTTGTATTAGGTGGAAGATAGATAAGTTTAATATTGGAAAGTTTTGGTATTTTTTTTTTGAATTATTTTGCATTGTTCTTTTATTCTTGTTGGAATTCTGACTTGATCCTTGTTCATTATCAGATTCATCTTCACTAGAATCATCAGAATTCTCTTTTTGTAATCTTTTTGTGTTAAAATGAGAACCTGCATTATCAATAAAAAGTACAATTTTTCTATTCATTGTACAAAAATAATTATTGAGATAATTAAGCCACTCAACAAATATATCTGCACGCATCCATGCTTTAAAATTAGCATGATAAATAATTGGAAGAGCTGATCTGTTGAGATTTTTAAAGCAGCGAGGATTAAGTGATTTTCCAATTACAAGTGGTTTAAATTTATGGGAGCCTGAGGCATTGGTACAAAAAAGAATTGATACTCTGCTTTTATCCTATAAAGTTATAATAAAATAAAATTATAATAAAATAAATTTTTAAATTAGTTATATGACGTGCAAATAATATCAGATCGGGTGGCGCAGCAAAATTATTAACATTAAAAGTTTAAAGTATCAATTTACCGCGCCACTGTAAAAAATAAGATTTATTTTTCCATGTGATTTGTGTGACTACTGCGCACGGCTCCATTATTTTTGCTAAAATTTTTTTAACGGAAGAAAATAATTTTTTGAGAACCACGTGTAAGTCACAATATAAACCCCGAGTGGTTCGAATTAGATCGTTTTTTATTGACGAGATAATTTTAAAATTCAATTTGATTAAAAAAAACTCCTTTTTTAAGAATCTATGCCATGACCTATTAGATATTAGCCAAGTGTATCTGCAACCTTAAATATATTAAGCAGTTATTTTCGTTATATTTGAAAAGAATTTTCAAAAGGTATAGTTCCTTTTTATTTGAGAAAGAGAAATAAGATTTTGACGCGAACTTTAGCGATAGTATTTTTTTTTTATATATGCCAAGACTAATTTTGTATCCTAATTTCTTTTTTCTTTTACCTCTACGAAAACCATCTTAACTACCTACCGGAACATACTAATTCTCGTTATTTTCCTAAAATCACCTGTTCTCGTCGTTTAGCTATATTCATTATGGACCAGAATCGGGAGATGTCAAATAGTAGTAGTAGTAATAGTAGTCAAGACGCCAACACCCGTAAGGTACGTGCTATAGTTATCTATTAGAAACAGAAATTTCGTTTGGGGGTCATTGCGCAATTGGTGAGGTGTTCTATTAGTGAAGCTAATGCATTATTTTATTAATATGTGAGAGGAGCGTTAGAATATGCGTTCGCTTATACGTTTGTAATACTAATAATTTTTATTACATTAGCGACGTACTCCAGACACCGTACCACACTCACCTGCATCCACTGTTTCAGAAGGTAAGAAATTATTCTTAATGTTATTTATTTAACAATAACATTTTTTTTAATAATATTTTCAATATGATTAGCCGTTAGTGTGCCTGACGAGGGAGGAATAGGAATAGCGGCAAGACGACCAAAGAGGCAATGCACCCTCAGAGGAAGGGTTGTAATTGAAGCTCCTGAGATTCACCCCCCGAAAAGAAAGAGAAGAAAGAAGCAAAGCGCTGGAAGACCAAGAGGCGCAAAACGTCAATGTAAACAACCAGCAAGCAATAATAATGATCTTGTTGATGATGCCGCCGAGCCTAGTAATAATAAAAACGTTGATAATCATAATGAAGCTGATGAAGCCGCCAAGCCTAATGGTACTAAGGATGACGCAGATAATGATGATGACCGGGCCGCTGAACGCCGCAAGCCGAAGAAGAAACTGACGATCAAGGACAAGAAAAACGAAATGATGGCAGCCGACCCTATATATGTACGCCCTCTTATTGGAGAAACACATGTTCAATCAAAGCGGTGTATGACTGCCGCTTATAAATATTTCGAGAGATGTATATCATGCGTCGCAAAGCAAACTGATGTATGCCGATTTACGGAATTTAGAATTTTCGGTGAGGATGAAGAAACCGGGGATCTTATTTATGGACCGAATTTTAAATCAATAACTGATCCAGAACCAGAAGACAAATATGAATTATTGGAAACTTCTTCGGAACAGAGGGACTATATATTAAATCAAATTGCAAGGGCATATAATAAGATTTTAAAAAGAGAGATTCCACATTTTGACATGGCCAAAACTAGAAAAATTCCTCGCCACGATATAATTCAATTATGTGACGTCTGCGAAAGTACAATCTTCAGCGGATATTGGATGTGTTGCGTTTGCGGACGAGAAACATGTTTATACTGTTATGACGAATGGGAGGATGGACCAATGGACCGACATACCAAATTGCTAAGATGCCGTTGTACATATGGGCGGTTCCATGAAAAATCTCAGATGGTTCCAATTTACCATTATACGAAAGAAGAAATAACTCTTCTTATCGAGGAAACAGATTTCATTATTGCGAATCTCAATGACGATGATATGCAAGAAATTGAAGACAACTATGAACTCCCGGATCACGAATCAGAAGACAAGGTGGACGAACTCCAGAAACAAGACCAAGGAAATTCAGGCGACATACCGGACAATCCTCAACTGGAAACTACCTCTCCTCAAGAACCAGACGTTAACAACGTTAATATTGAGCCAGACATTAATAACGTTAATATTGAGCCAGATGTTAATATTGAGCCAGACGTTAAAATTGAATCAAACGTTAAGATCGAGTCAGACATTAAGATCGAGTCAGACGTTAAGATTGAGTCAGACTTTAAGATTGAGTCAGACGTTAAGAATATTGAGCCCGTTAATGTCGAGCCCGTTAATATTGAGCCTGTTAATATTGAGCCAGACATTAATATTGAACCAGATGGTAATATTGAGCCAGACAGCTTATTATTCGATAACACGACTGCAGAAGAACCGAACAATGCAAACCCATTAATTCAAGAATCATCAAGGCATAACGAACATACGAAGTTAGTATTTGAAGCTAATGAATTATCGACAGAAGAATTTGAAAAGCTTTGGAAAAAGGGGTACCCAATTATAATAACGAACAATTCTAAAAAATTATCATCAAGATTATGGTCACCAAAGTATTTTATTAACAAATATGGCAATGATTCTTGCGAAACCGTTGATTGCGAGACCGGAAAAATTTATAAAATGAATGTCAGACTATTTTTTAACGGTTTTCAAAACCCTGATCAGAGATACTCCAAAAGCAACAAATTTCCATGTTTAAAACTTAAGGATTGGCCTTCAACGGACGATTTTGCTAACGTGTTCCCGGATCACTTTAAAAATTTCATGAATTCATTACCATTTAAAGAGATCACCACCAGGGAAGGTAAATTTAATTTAGCTCACAGACTTCCTATTGACATCAATAGACCTGATCTCGGGCCAAAGATGTACAACGCGTATGGCTCCAATGACAACGAAGGCGGAAAGGGTACCACTAATCTTCACCTAGACATGACCGATGCAGTCAACATGATGGCCTACGCCCCAAGCGAAGAGGAAAAGTTATTGTCTGAACAAAACAAACCTGGTGCAGCAGTCTGGGACATTTATTATCCTGCAGACCTCCCAAAGGTACGCAGGTTCTTGAGGAAAGTAGCAAATGAAAGGGGGTTAATTATTGATCATCCCATCCATGATCAGTGCTTTTATTTGGATGCTTCTTTAAGAGAACGGCTTTTAAAATCAGAAGGGGTTTCCGGTTGGCGTATCTATCAGAATCCTGGGGATGTTGTCTTTGTGCCTGCAGGTTGTGCACATCAAGTGTGCAACTATACTAGTTGTATTAAAGTTGCTGTTGATTTTGTGTCCCCTGAGGGCGTTGGACGAAGCTTAGCGGTCAGCCAACAGTTCAGAAAGTTGTCTCGTGGTCACAAAAGGAAGCGGGACATTCTTCAGCTTCCAAATATCTTATATCACAGCTGGAAAACAGTGTATAATGGATTGTCGGCATAAAATTATTCTACCATATTATTACGTAAATGAAATTTATAATTTTTATGAATAATTAACTAGTTAATATTTTGTTAGATGCAACATGCCTAGCGTGTGCCCTTTTTCTTGTTATTTTTCTTCTCATAAGCACTTTTTTTTTTTCGTTGGGAATTACTATTATTTTTTTTTCATTGGGTGATATATTTAATTTTTTTTTTTCGTTATTCTAAATTTTCGGAGGGATTTTCCCTTTAATTTTATTGATGCATAGCATCATTTAACAAGTATATGCTAAAAAATTTTAAAGTTTTTATCACATGAATTTCTAATTAATTAATTACAAATAATTAATAATAATAAATAATAATAATAAAATAATAATAATGATGGATATCACTGAATGATTTTCTTTACTTTTTATTTATTTATTTAATAAAGAAAAAAAGAAAAAAAAAAAAAAAAAAAGTTAGATCGTACATTATTACAAAATCTATATTTTCACTAATATACTAATATAATACATTTACTTTCAGATTTTTTTGTTCAATTGACATTGCTAAACTATAAGCTTTTGTATATTGATTTAAAGGTCCATCTTTACGATTCCAACTTAATTTTAAAGCATCTTTAATTAAATTTCTAATAAATATTTCTTTTTCTTGTAAATTATTTTTAAGTCTAATGTAATCTTCTAATGCCATAGTTAATACAATTTTTAATCCTTCAATTGATCGTTGAACTAATTGATATCTTTCATTATTTTTATTATTATCTTTGTCATTCACTAATTTAAATAAATAACTATTATAACCTTCAATCATATATTTACTACTTTTATTTATTAAAAATTCAGATAAATCTCCTATATCAGTACTTATAATAGATGAACCAAATAATAATCCTTCAGCTGCAATTAATCTAAAACTTTTTGTTAAACTTGGAACAAATTTTAAATCAGTTGCAACTCTAAATAAAGTTCCCCATTTTGATTGTAATTCTAAATTAGAAATTATTAAAATATTTTCAGGATATTTTGATTGAATTTGATATAAATATTTTATTGGATAATCATTTGGTTGTCCCATAATAATAAATTTGGCATCATATTTTGATATTATTTCTGCAACATGAGAGAAAAATTCCAATCCTTGGTTATATTGAAATTTTCCCACATATAATAATAAAATACGATTAAAATCTTTTGAATCCAATATCTTCTCTTTTATTAAATGTTTCCTTGCATTAGATTTCGCATTTATTACAAGTTCTTGAGAAGATTCTTCAATTAATTCTGCATATAAAAGTTCATTATCAAAATTATCAATATTTCTAGGAAAACTAGAATTAAATTCCAAAAGTTTTGAATCATTGAATGGATTGAAAGAATTAAAATCTACACCATTTGTAATACCAATCCAATGTCCTGTGGTTGATCGATTAAGAATACTTGGAATAATTAATTCTTTTGCTTCAAATTCCAAAGATTCTTCAACCATTTCTCTAGCCATTGAAGCGGAAACAATAGTAACGACTTCAGAATAATCAATTGCCAAAGCTGATGGATAAAATCGACTTCCATAAATATATTTTGTGAGATCTTCCCGATTTGTTAAATCTAAAAATTTATTTACATTAATAACTTTATTAGAATAAAATTGTTCTTCTTGATAATCATGTAAAGTGTAAACAATAGAAGGAGGAGGATAAGATAATAAAATTTCTTTATAATTTGCTAATTTATTACTTTTTCTTTTTCTTTTTACTTTATTACTTTCTTCTCTATAAAATTGTTTAATAAAATCTAATACTAAAGCATTGGTAACTCCATGTAAATGTACAATATCTACACCTCTAGGATCAAATCTATCAAATAATGATGATTCAGGATTAGAATTTAGAAAAGTAATTAGTTCAGCCACCGCTTTACAGAAATATAAATCTTTCCATTCTTGAGGTAATTTTGATGATGAAGAATAAATTTCCAAATTATTTTGAACTTTTTTATAAGCCAAATTTAATGGTTTAAAATTTTTTGCGGGACCAATTAAATATACACCAATTTTTCGAGTTATTGAAGGATTTTTACTAAGGACATTAAGATTATCAGTAAATTTCCAAAAAAATCGACCAACAGTAAATATAACTTCTTTCCAATTATTTGTTTCATCTCTTACTTGAATTGATAATTGAGTAAAACTTTGAATTTGATATAAATCAGTTAAAAAAGAATATCGAGGTATTATAACATTAACATTAAATTTGGAATCCGCTTTTGCTTGAGCTTTAGCTAATGAAGTTACAATTTGACCTAATTCACCCATAGATGCATCACCAAATTCTTTAGTAACATGATAAATTGTAGTTCCATTTGGAACAGAATCTGTTACATTTGGAGGAAATCTATGATAAGGTTGTGGTGGATAAAATTGTGGTTCTAAATATTTTTTCATTTTTTATTAAATTAGTTAATAATTATAATAATTAATAATTTATTAAGTTAGTTAATAATAATAAAAAAAATTAATTAATTACCTATTATTAATTCATCTTTTAAATATGTTAATATTATTATGGTAAATATTAATATACAAATACAAAATAAAATTATAATAAATAACATTAAAACGTCCCATTTAATTCTATCTTTAACTAATGAAGAAACATAAGGAATTCTATTTAATTTTTTTCTAATGTTCTTATCAATAAAACGTTGTAAAGGATTATAATTATAGGAGTTTACACGTTTATTCATATTTGTTTTATGTTTATGATAATAAGAATTATTATTGTAGTCATTTTTATAACAAAAAAAAAAGTGAAATTATTGTGTAACTTAATCGAAACTGCATCTAATTAAAAAACTTTATTTTTATCTTTTGCATCTTTTATTACTTTTTATTATAATGTTTCGGAATTTTTCTCATACTAACACTACTAATATTTTTTTTTCTCATAAAATTCCAATAATTTTATCTCGTTCTATTTTAAAGAATGCTGTTGTTCGAAAGAAAAAGAATCTAATGCCAATAGAAGAAGGAGGAGGAGAAGAAGCACTTCAAAAAGATATAAAAAACACAAAAAAAGTAAAAAATATAAAAAAAACCAAATATATACTAGGTAAATTTTTAATATCATCATTACAATTTAACTTGAAATTTTTAATCACAATTTAATCACAATTTTATTTTTTAATCACAAATTTCAATTTCAATTTCAATTTCAATTTATAGATGAGGATAGCATACACAATATAGAAAAATCAGAAAATCTTCTTGATAAAAATAAGGAAAATAGTATAGATAATCCAATTATTATTGACAATAGGCCAAATAGTATAGAGAATCCAATTATTATTGACAATAGGAAGAAACTTGAAGCTGTTCCCAAAAAAGAAATTATTACAAAATTTGTTCAATATCCTTATTTTCTTCATCGTACACAATTTATGAATTTACCTGTTTATTCGGATATTAGAAATGGAAAATCTCGAGTTTTGACAGTTATAAGAAGAGTTGAAGGTGATATTCAGGTGTGAAAAGAAATATATCTATCTACATATATATATTATTCTAGAGAAATATATTATTGTTATAGGGATATATTATTATTATGATGATGGAGATATATAGTTTTCTAATAATAATCATAATATTTATTTGGAAATGAAATAACTTTTAGGCACTTCGTGATGATATAAAGAGAGAGGTTTTCCCAAATGATACAGCCACTCGTTCTATTATTGGAATTAATCATACCAATAATCAAATTGTGATTAAAGGTGATCATACCTATAAAATGAAAAAGTGGCTAATCAAAAAAGGATTTTAAATTAAATAAATAAAATACTTTTAATTATTTTGGTAATTTTTTTTTTTTTTTTTGATAAATTTGATAGTAACAATAATATGTATATATATGTATATTTATATTAAGAAGTTTTTATTTTCTTTTTGAGTTTTATTTCTTTCATATTTTTCCATAATTCTTCCTCATCCTCTTCTGAATCATTATTTTCATTTGAATGATTATTTTCATCTATGAAAAAAATTAGAAGAATTTAATATAATTTAATAAGAATTAAAGAAATTTTAAAAAATTATAGAAAAGAATTACCTTCTGAACTACCAACCAAGACGCATGTTTGACGTTGTTTGAGATATATTTTATGTGTTAATTTACGCGTTGCATTCATTTCATGTACACGCAGGAATCGATCCAGACATACAGTTACTAATGAAGTTGATTTTTTATCTATAGACATATCAGTTACCGCACCCATGAAACCTATTAATCATTTAATTTAATTAATTAATTAATTAATTGAAATAAATTAAAAATAATTATAATAATTATAATAATAATAATCATAATAATAATTATGATTTACCTTTATATCTTCCAAGAATCTTTCCTATAATTTAATTACAATTTAATTTAATTTAATTAATTAATTAATTGGAAATATGTTTTCTTAAAAAAAAAAAAAATCAAAAATTCCTAATATACCAGTTCTAATGTCTACAGAGGAAACACTACCAACTGTATCTGAAAAGATTATTTCACTATAATATTTAAAAAAAAGGAAATAATAATTCATTGAGAATTTATTTTATTGTAGTCATTTTTTGGATAAGAATATTTCTTTGATTAATATTAACTTACTTTGAATTTCGACCCATAATTAATGATACCACGGGATTGACACCAATGTTAAAATCCTGCACTGGTCTACGTTTCGCTTTTGTATCATAAATTCTAATCTATATAAAAAAAAAGGTAAAGACATGACTTTATATATATATATATACGCGAATACACGTGAGAAATTAGCAAGAAGTTAAAATAATACCTGATGATATTTAGAACCGATTACAAGTTTTGTTGTATCCGAATCATTAAGAAATTGTAAATCAGTAATCCATACTGGAACTTTAAGATCCAAGAAATCATTTTCATTTTTTGCACTCCATAATAACCCTATTTTGGCTTTTTTTTTATCTTTATTATTATTATTATTTTCTTGCCAAATGTTTGCATCCCATACTGACAATTGATGTTCTTTTCCACCACAGGAAAATATGTGATTTTCTTTAGGATGTACTCTTAATCGAGATAAATCTGATGTAAGGGTAATAATTTTATTCATCGAGGATGACTAATATAATATAAATAATATAAATAAATTTGGTAAATAAAATATTATGAGAATTATAAAATATAAATAAAATATAAATAACTCACATTATCCTCTAAAATAGGTTGATACCTGACAATACCTTTATCAGTACATGTTACCAAGGTGCTAAATAATAATTTAATTGTAATTTTTATAATTAATTAATTAATTCATTTCTTTAATAAATTCAATAATAATTTTGGGTGCATACTTGTTATTTGCAAATAAACCAACAAATCGTGCATCCCGTTTTCCATCTTTATTAACATTAATTTGTTCCTCAAGGAATTCTTTACACACTTTTCCATCTTTATTTGGATCTAAAATTTGTATTATTCCATTTTTGCGTGCAACTATGATCTATAAAGAAAAATTATAAATAAAATAAAAATAAAGAATGAATTCACACACAAAAAAAAAAAGCGCATCGATATATTAACAACCTGATTCTTCTCCCCTAAAATATCTGCTTGATACATTAACTGTACAGCTTTGTTACGATCAATTTTCTCCCATGTTTTAATTGTATGTGGTGATTGTGATGATATTTCCTTTTTTTGTGACGTTGAGGAAGTTATCGATATTTCTACATAAAATAAAAATAATGGAATTAATATAAAAAAAAATAATATATCATAATTAACAAAAAATCAAAATCAAAATACCTTTTATTAATCCTGCTTCGTCTCCTGTAAAGAATTTCATTTGCAGTTTAATCTTAATCAGATATTAAAAAAAAAAAAAAAAATATATATATATATATATGTTTGCATTTTAAAATATTTAATTTAAAAATGCAAACCGAAAATCCCGATTATCGTTATCTACATTCCGAGAATTTTTTTTTTGAAGTCATTTAAAAAAAGTCGTTTTTTTATTTGATCTTTATGATCTTCGCATCCTCGTTCATTAAAACAAGCTGGATATGTCGCCAGTTGTTTGTCAAAAGATTGAGAGCACTTTCTCATATTCCTCCTCCTCCTCATATTATTATTCCTTTAAATTCTTACTCAAATTATTCAAAACATTTAAATTATTTGAATTACCATTCAATATGCATAAATCCACGAATTGTAACGACACCTGGTTATCAGAAGTATTATATGAGTACTGTGAGTACTTCGGCAACAACTGAAATTCCTATTAAAGAAGTAGTAGAGGGTTCAACTGAGGTAGCAGAAGTTGGCAGAATAAAAAAGACTAGTAAGAAGACTGCAAAAAGAACTAATGCAATTAAAACTCCTATTATAAAAACAGAAAAGACTGAAGCAGCTGAAGCAATCGAAGCAACCGAAGCAAAAGTAGCCACAAAAAAAAGGTCAAAAAAAAGACCAGCTGAAATTCCTATTAAAGATTTTGAGACAGAATCTTCCGAAGCAACTGTAGTTAATTCAAAAAAGACCACTAAAAGAAAGACCGGAAAAAAAAAGTCCAATAGTTCAGAAACAGAAACTCCTATTAAAGAAGTCGAAACAAACGAAATAACTGAAGCTATAACAGAAAAAATTGAAGCAGCAACCCCAAAAAAGAATAATAAAATAAAAGAAAAAAATAATGCTTCCGAAGCTGGATTTCCTATGAAAGAACTTGGGATCGAAACAGCCATAGTTTCCCCAACTAGTACTTCAGAAACTGAAATTCTTGTTAAAGAAACTGAGACAGACGCAGCCGAAGCAGTTAATGAAGCAACCACCAAAAAAGCCAATAAAAAGACTGCAAAAAAAAAGACTAGCACTTCAGAAATTATTGAAGAAGCAGAGATCGAAACAGCCGAAGCAACCTCAACAAAAAAGAATAATAATAAAAAAAGAAATGTTAAAAAAATGACCACTGCTGGAGAAATTGAAATTCCCACTAAAGAAACTGAAACAAATTTAATCGAAGTAGCTAAAGCAACCGAAATAGCCCCCAAAAAGATCAATAAAAAGACTACAAAAAAAAGTACTATTAAAGAAGCCGAGACAACAGAAACAGAAACAGCCCCAAAAAAGACTAATATAAAAAATAATATAAAAAATAATATTGAAAAAAGGACAATTACAGAAACTGAGGCAAAAGCACCCGTAGTTACCTCATCAACTGAAATTACTATTAAAGATATTAAAGTAGTCGAGATGGAAACAGCCCCCAATTCTTTAGCAACTGAAATTCCTATTAAAGAAACAGATACAGAATCAGCCAAAGCAGAAGCAGCCTCTCAAAAAACCATCAAAAAAACTGTGAAAAAAAGGACTAGTACTTCAGAAACTATTAAAGAAGCTGAGGCCGAAGAAGCCCCTTCAAAAACTAATAAAAAAAAGAATGTTAAAAAAAGAAAAGCTACTACTGAAACCAAAATTTCCACTAAAGGAACTGATACAGAAACAGCCGTAAATGACATAGTAAATGAGACAGGAACAGCTCATGATGCTTCAACAGCCGAAATTCTTAATAAAGAAACTGAGACAGAATTAACTGAAGCCGAAACGGCTGAAGTAATTTCAAAAAAAAAGACTGCAAAAAAAAAGAAGACACTAAGTAAAGGTGTTAAAGATAAAGAAGCCAAGGTTGTCAAAAATAAAGAAACCAAGGTTGTTAAAAATAAAGAAACCAAAGGTTCTAAAATTAAAGAATTTCAGGATATTAATAAAAAATCTATTATAAAAAAATCACCACTAACAAAGAGAAAATTGAGATTATCCGAGAGGGATGATTATTATACGAGACAAGTTACAAGAACATTACTTAAAGAACTTTGGACACACAAAAAGCTTGCAAAAGAATTATCTATAGAACCACCAGTTCCTACAGGTCGTTGGGAAGATATTGAAACATTTAAACCAAAAGTAATAAAATTGAATAAAGAAGAATATGATAAACTAGTTTCACAATTGGATCATGGATTCTTAGCGAAACAAATTCATGAATATTTGAGAAATAATCGACATCAACTTCCAAAGAATAAACAGAATAAACAAGAAGATTCGAAAAGTAAAGAGAAACCTATATCTTTAACTCGTAATAAAGAAGCATTAATAGATCTTATAATTCAGGAAATATGGAAATATCCTAAACCAATAGAAATAAAAAATCAACCTATACAAGAAAGTAGGTTAATATATTAATTATATTATTATTACCTTTCAAGGAAAAAGAAATTTCTTTTGTATATATTAATTTTTTTTTTGTATGTACATATTGATTTTAGTTATTCAATCGAAGCCATTAGATATTTTCTTTATTGTTGGTCCAGGTTCGCATTTTATTTATTATTTATTATTATTTATTATTATTATTATATATATTTTTAATTTATGCTTATTTCGTGTTTTTAATTAATGTTCAAATATAGATGGAGAATCATTGAAATGGATAGAAACTGAAGCCAATGTAAAGATCTTTATAGATCTTAATACATTTTCATTTACTCTTTCAGGGTTTAGACCGAATATTGATATGGCTAAAGAAATAATAAAGAAATTGACGGTATTTAGCATTTATTTTTTTTATATTTTTTTATATTAGAGAAATGTTGTTTATAAAGAAAAGACAATGACTCATGAATTTTTCTTTATTTATAAAGACATATATGTCAGCGATTGTAGATCTTCCATCACATGTTAAAGATGATAATAAAAATTTACAAGAAATGATGCCGTATGTACAGGATATTTGTAGAACATCAGGATCATTTATTGAACTTTATAATAACCATCAGGTTTGTGTTTTATATAATTATTAATATTTTTATTTTAAAGTGAACAATATTAAATTTCTTTTATAAATTAAAGATTATTATCTCAGCTCAAGCTCAAGATAATATTAATGAAGCACAAAGATTGTTAAATAGTGCTTGGATGCAAGTTAGTAATTTTTTTAAATAAATTTTTAAATGATATTTATTTCTTAATCAATAATCTTAAAATAATCTTTTTAATTATATTTTCTTATATTTTCTTATATTTTCTTACATTTTATTATTATATTTTTAGCCCGATCAAAACGAAAATCACATAATTTTATATAGCAACAATTATGAAGGATCCAAATATTGTTTTATGCCAATTCATGATGTTGTGACATTATCAATGTTTCATAGGAACATGCATTGGCATCGTCTTGTGGGAACTTCACAATTGGTATGGCATCTTTATTATTAACAATTTATTATTTTATTTTTTTTTTTTTATTTCAATTTCAATTTTTAATTTTTAATTTCATTCCGAGAAATTATTATTATTGGTTGTTTCTTTCTTTTAATCTTATTTATGAAATAATTTTTTCATTTAAACCTCTGACCTATAGTCTTCATTTGGTAGGGTGATAGTCCTACCGTACATGGAAAACTATGTAGATTGCATGAGAGTGAAAGGTATTACAGTAATAAATTAGTAATAATAATTAGTAATAACATTGTTATTTTTCTTTTATTCACAAATCATAATGTAATAATATATCTTCTATTTTGTGAATTACATACAGTGTGTTAAAGGATTCAATGTTATGGTCTCAATACAATTCAAAAATGGAATCAAATGAAATGAATTTTTATGAACTTGGAAATTTCTTAGCAAATTATTTGAATACAGAAGAAAATTCTAATACTCAATTAGAAATTCATTCAATGCAAGTTATTGTTATTATTTTCTTATTCTCTAGGGTTGAGAGAATCTCAAAAAAAAAAAAAATGTTACTGTTGTTAAATTTTTTTGTTTATTAATCTTACATAATTTTAGTTTTGGACATACCATTTTTCATGACAAGTCACAATCAATACAGAATATATTTTTGCCACCATTAGAAGGAACATATACACGTCAAATGGTAGAACAGTGGGTTAAAAAAGTAAATCCAACAAAATTATTTCTTCCAAGGTAATAACTTCTTGTTTATTGTTACAAGTTAGGTTTTTTGCTAATTACTAATTTTTATTTTTATTTTTTATTTTTATCTTTTTAGTTATCCACAAATAAATTTATTAGAACCGTTAAATCAACTTTCCAGACATCAAACAATTGTTCAACTAGATTATATACCATCATCTCAAATAGATGATCCCACTAATCGTTTGAGTTTTCAGTTTGATGTGACCGATAAAAATTTACAATTGAAAGATTTTTTAATATTCAAACGACGTCTTTTAATTGATGTGATGATGATGGATTGGTAAAATATATAATATACACATATATATTATATGTATCTATCATTATTTATTAATGATAATGATGATAATTTTTTTTTTTAAAGTTCCAAAGATATTCGATTACTATCCTCGATCAAAGAATCTTTATTGGGTAATCATGACATTTCACGGTTCACAAAACAATGTAAACTTTACAAGTATGTTTAAATTTCTCTCATGCATTTATTGTTATATATATATATATATATTTGTTTATTTTATTATTTATATTGATTTAATATTTACTTTAAAGTTCTCTAGAAATTCAGTGCCCTAAGGAATATATCCTCGAAAATAAATTGGATGATAAAATAATTTCTATCCCATATATTTTGGATAGTGCTAATATATATACTTGTGGACATTATGATTATAATGGATTTATATTGGTTGTAAAAAAGGTTCTAGAACAAAAAACAAAAACTGTTAGACCAGAAATAATGGTAAGATTATTATTATTTTTGTATAATATTATTAATTATAAATTGAATTTATTATGTTTATCATTTTTATTATTTATTTATTTATTTTTTTTTAGTTACTTTATAAACCTCGAATGAATTTAAAATCTCAAGATATAATTTCTCATCAATTGATTCCTGAACAAAACTATAATGATTTTACTCGTTGGGAAGATTATATTTTTTCAGCTATTGAGATTGCTAATTATCAGATCTAAAAAAATTTTTTTTAATTGCAGAATAGAAAAAAAAAATCTATTTTTATGATTTGCATCTATTCATTCCTTTCAATATAAGGGATGATTATTTTTTTTTATAACAATTGTATATTTGTATTTAATTATTTAATTATTTAATTAATAAAAGTTTTATTGTTTTTTTGTTGCATACATGATAAATTTTGGTCAACCAGTAATTCTATAATTTACCTCATAAGGAAAGCAATTTTTGGTAATTGTTTTATTCTATTTTGTAGATTTTTTACCATGTTAGATGTTAAAATTTTACAAATTTATGAAAAAAAATTTCTGACTTTTGCTCATGATTTATACAACAAGATATGATTTTCTACTAAGGTGTTTCTAAGATTGATAGAAAGTCTGATTCTTGGTTAGAAGATGGTGTTCTGTAATATCGATATTTGTTGAGATATTTTGATTAAAGTCCGCAATGTCTACAAAAAAAATTTTCTTTGAAGAAATCCTCTATTTATGTTTACTTTTTATTGATTCAATGAAATCTTTTACTAAAAACAAGGAGCAACTTTCTATTAAGATATTCTTAAGATGATTCAAAAGATCTAGTTTCTGGCTTTATAATTAAAGTTAAATCATCTTTCTAGCATCGATCCAAAGACAAAATATTAGCATGACTTCTGATTGCGTTTACACAACAGGGAATGATTTTCTAGTATGATGTTTCTGTTACCATTTGAAAGCTTGAAATGAGAACTTTACAATGATGGTTAAATCATCTTTCTAGCAACGAATATCTTGAGATATTTTCCGCTTGCAGACATTTATACTTCCCGATTATCGAATTTGCGTAACGAACTTCCTTAATTTGGATCAGAAAAAAAGTAAAAATATGATTTGGTGGCAATACATTATTGGTATAATTTGTTTCACCAGCTTATTATAATTCTAAATTATATATATAGATTAGTATCCACAAAATTTTCGACACATTTCCTCTAAATATTTTTCTATATTTCCATATTTCTACCGAAAGTTTTTTTCGTTATAATTATTATTTGAAGAAATTTAAAGAAGAATAAAAAATAATATTCAAATAAATAAACAAAAAAACAAACAAGATGTCAGACCAAATTAAAGAATTTGTTGAAGTACCAAGACAATTTGTTAAAGAAGGAACACAGTTTATAAATCGATGTACGAAACCTGATCGCCGGGGTATTTATTTTTCAAAGTATTAGTTATTTTAGTTCATTCCTCGGGTAATAATAATAATAATAATAATAATTTTAATAATAAATTTAATAATTTTAATAATTTTATCAAAAAAATAAAAAAAATAAATAATAAAAAAAGAATACATCAAAATTTCACAAGCAGTCGCAATGGGATTCTTAGTTATGGGATTCATTGGGTTCTTCGTAAAGTTGATCCATATTCCGATCAATAACATTCTTGTGTATGTATCATCTTTTCGTCATAATATTAATATCTCATTTTGTATTATTTTATTTTATTAATTTTATTAATTTTTTTTATTTTTTATTTTTATTTTTATTTAATTTAATTTATTAATTATAATATTATAGTGGTGGAGCATGATCACCTAATAATAATAATAATAATAGTAATAATACCAAAAATAACAATAATAATTTTTTTTGATGAGATATAAAACAATATAATATCAAGTTAATATCAATAGAATATTTTTTTTAGAACTTTCTGATCTATTTTGTGAGTGTGGTTTTTTAGTTGAACATTTCCTAAACAATTTCTTAATAACTTCTTTTTTACATAAATTATTTAATCGATCATGAACATTTTAAATAATATTTTAATTTTTTTTTTTAATAATAATGTTTTTAAAATAATTTTTATTGTTACAATATAAAAAAAAAATTAAAGAATCTTTTTTATTAATAATAATTATATAAAAATATTAAAGTAATAAAATTAAAATGTGATAATGTGCTTTAACCAATACAATAAATGAAAAATTTAATAACAGAAATTGTAGAAATTATTATTATTTCGATAATATCCGATGATTATTTTTTTTCATTTTCAAAAGTCTCTAAATTTATTATCATCAAAATATCCAATTAAATCCATAACAACCAATTTTACCATAATTCTTTCTAAACCCAAATTCCTTTCCTTTTCCTTTCTTTTCTTTTCCTTTCCTTTTCTTTTCTCATTACTTTTTTTTTTTAATTATCCCCTCTAAACCTTGTAGCTTTCTTTTCATTCATCTCTTCTTCAACCACTAATTTATCTACAGCATAAAGATTATTCAAATAACCTTGCCTTTTTATAACTTCCAATTCTTTTTCTGCGTTCTTAACTAATTCTATAATTTTCGTCGGTCTAGTTTCATTTTTATGTTGATGAAATGAATCCCTAATTCTACGATATGAGTAATCCCTAAAATTATAATTTGAAAAATTTCTACTGGCTCTTAAAAGAGAATGATATAGATTTAAGATATAAGCTCGACTTGGTACACTTTGTTGCATTCCTGCTGACATTTTTCAGTTAATTTTATTTATTTGAATAAATATGTATATATACATAAGTATATTTTCCTTCAAATGACAATATAATATTTAATATTTATTATTGATATTGTGAACGAGAGAATGTTTGGTTTCAGGTTTTTTTTTTCAAGGAAAGAATCGAGAATTTACGAAGATTATCATTATTTATCCCGGATGGATTGTAATATATCAATAAATAACCAATACTAAGTATTACTAAGTAAAGTTACTATTTTCCTCATGGCTCCATCAAGCAAAGCCCGAAGGAATATCCCTTGAGCGTCATTAACATTTTTATATTGTAATTCTTGCATTTGTATGTTTCTGATCCTCGAATGTTCTGAATGTTTCCAACAAAGCATCTTTCTAACTGTTTTCCATGTTATCTTTGTGTTTTTCTGTTCATAATATCTGAAATCACGAAAGGGGGAATAACAATTATGTCAAATTAATCAGTTAAAAACTTCAATGAATTTCATTCTGCAATTGTCTGATCAAAGATGGCTTTGTCAATATGCAGTGCTTTTTTCTTTTTTCGTTTTGACATTGAAGAGTCCAGTTTATCTTTTTTTGATATAAGATTGTTCATGTGTTTACATAAACAAAAAGATATGTCCTATATCAGATTCTCCTATTTTTTTCTGTGCCTTTTATTGGGTAAATGGAGTATGAATTCCTGGATCAATTGAAACTACATTAACTTCTGCTTGGGATTCATGGATCTCTTTCTGTGTTTCATATACCCAATGAAATATCCATTCATTTGTCTTTCATATATATGTAAGTTTACAATTAAAATCTATTTTTTGCAATGGCCATTTATTATGTTTTTTCTTTGTTTCAAAATGGAGTGGGCACAAATCACACTTTCCATCTTCTAATTTGTTGGGTTTATATTGTTTTGATGATAAAGTCAAAGAATTATGAAGATGTGTAGTATAAAAATGATTATGAAAAATTCTGTGCACAAACAGTTATTGACTGTTTTAAATCTTTCTTAGATTTAATTATGATTTTTAGTATTTTTCAAATTCTTTTGTATTAAATTTCCCTTAGCTATCAAAGCTTCATCAATATTTTTATCAATCACATTTGTAGGTACTTTATCATTTAAACCTTTAAGACATAATTCTAGCCATAAAAACTGTTTGAAGAAATTTACATATAATCTCTAATTTTTTGTCATCATTATCAAATCTTTTTCTTCTTTTACATCTATATTTAATTTAAGTTTTTCATTAAGTGTTAGATTTTATCATCCACCCAAAAAGTTTATTACAAAAATGATAATTTTTATTAACGAATCTCGTCATCTCTTCAAAATATTTTTTTGGAAATGATTTGGATATGTTTTAATTGATAATGTTTGATTAACAGTTGTTTCAATTTTTGTTTTTTATTGTTTTGTGTTTATTATTTTTGTTTTCTTTTGTTTTTTATTCTCTTTGGTATATATTTGCTCTTCTTTATTGCATTCAACAGATGAAGATAATGTTGATTGCAAGGGTATCTTGTTATAATTCATGTTTTGGTGGAGCTTGATTTGTTGAAGAGAACCATGAATTTTGTAGAGTGTTATAAGAGCATATATTTGATGAGGTCAAATGTGTATCTGCAGGGTCAGTCATGATGGGTAACCACAACTTCAGAGACCATTCCTTTACTTGATCATTCCAGTGAGGTCTCAAGTCTTTTTTTTGAAGTTGATACTTGACTTGATGAGTTTATAATTTGGGAATCTGGATTTAAGGATATGTTTCTATCTTACAATATTTTTTTATTTTTACTTGAGACACGTGCCTAGGAAATCTTTTTCTTTGGCAATGGAGGTGGATATTATCATTCCATATTTATGTATTTATTTATAAATTATACGTCACGACACATATTAAAGAAAAACATTATAGTTAATGGAATGATAGATGACAATGATGAGCCGTACAAAAGGAAAGTTTGATTAGAAATGATTGATTTATCGGAAATTAAGAAATCAGCACATGACTAATACTAAATATTAATCGTTCTTATTTAAATCGTTGTTCAAATTAAATATAAAAATGGATATTTAAAATATGGAAAGTAAATATCCAAAGAAAAAGATGACACTTTTACCCTTGAATTTGACTGGGTTGAAAGTTATGTTATGTTCAATTTGCTTAATTTGTGAATAATAATGAAATCGCTATCATTGTATTATAGATCTCATTTTCATTTTTCATTTTTCATTTGTATATTGATTTCCTCACAGCACATTTTATTACACAGATTTCATTTTATAATATAGCATTTCATTATTTTATTTAATGTGGAGGTTTGGAAGGTTAACGATGAAAAAAAGGAAGATTACTTTCGAAATCTTAGAATCTAAGACTTTCCATTGTTCAAAATTTACAAGGGCTTGCAATATCATCAAGTTAAGAACTTTAGAAGCATTTGTATGAATCTTCAAGGTTCTAATACATTTTGTACAAATATAAATAGGATTAATGGAATTAATAGGATTTCAAAATTGAAATTTTGCTTTTGTTCTTTCACACAAATTTTGTTGATAATTATCAATGTAATTAATTAACTGTAACACCAATACTCGGGTGAATCTATTTTCGTCAATATAATGCAAATATGTCGCGAAAATAATGAAACGTAGCTAATAAAATCTCTACAAAATTATATTATACAACCAAATTTATCTCTCCGATGTGCTGATATATACGAATAACTCTGATACATCATATAAAACCTGGATCTTTTGTCATGTCATGTTTGGTTTGCCATAAATATTTAATTCCGACATCATATTTTGATTCTGAGAAACTCTCGTGTTTGACGAATTTTCATTATTCCAAAATAAGATCAGAATATATAAATAATGTATATTTATCGTCTGGAAGAAATCCCAGAAAAAAAATGGAAAAAATAGAAATTACTCAAGAAAAAGAAAAAATAAACTTTGAAGAAATCATTCTTGATGTTGGTGGAACTAAGGTATTAATGGTTTTCTCTAACTTTTCTTTGATACTATACTATATTAATTTATTTATTTAAAAAATAGTACAAAACCAAACGATCAACTCTTATTGAATATCCCAATACGTTACTTGGAAAAATGTTCCTAAACCCTTCAAATTATAACAAAGAATACTTTCTCGATCGTAATGAAAGAGCATTTCATTATATTATGGAATTCTATCGTACTGGTAAACCTTTATGGCCAGATGGACATGATGGCGTGACTTGTGAAGAAGTTGAAAGAGAATTCGAATATTTTCAAATTCCCTTAGAAAAAGATTACGCTAATACACTAGCATTTAAAGCAGCGGCTAATACTTTTGATCAAATTGTTTCCGCATTTGAGAAAGTGATAATATCGATGTATCAAGACTTTGACAATATGATTTATCTGAATTTTTTCGAAAATGGGACTTCGGATTATAAAGGATTTCAAAGAATATTTTCATCTCTTGGAGGAAAAGAATATATCTTATTGACGATTATGGGTGCACAGATAAAGAGAAAATTAGAAAATACTTTTTCGGAATCAAAATTGAAATGGGAATATAAAAAGGTGGAAAGCTTTCTTTTGGATACTTTCCAAGTTAAGATTTCATATGATATAAACCCTGTGTTGATTATGAAATATTCTAAATTTCAGTAACATCTCTTTTCGCATTTTATAATATAAAAATTTTCATATAAAATATATGAAAATGAAAATGTGAATTTTCTCGTAACACCTTCATTATAGATATAATCGATTAGATAATATTTCATCGAAAGCAGAATAATTATTTAATATGTAAAATATGTAAGAGTATATGTAGATCGATCGAGCCTTAGATCAAGGTGACAACAGCAAAGCAGTAATAAATGACACTTCGCAAATAAATATATGCATATATAAATCCAATTTCTTTTTTTTTTTTTTTTTTTTTGAGAAAAACTATTAAAAAAAACAACGCATATTTGAAGAAACCATTCTTGATGTTGATGGTAGAATTATGTATCTATTTTTTTCTTTACATGAAAATCTCTACATAATTTATAGTACATTATTATTATTATTATCTATTTTTGTGAGTAAATCGGACCGTTATAAATCGAACACTTTGAATACTTCGGCCTGATTATATCAATAATAATTTTTTTAAAATTATTATAAATTACTAAAAGGACAAATAAGAATGAACTTTTACAATCGTCAGTTTACTATTTTATTATTAATAAAAGGCTAATGTTATTCCTCACCTTAGATGAGATAAAATATTGCTCACACCTATAACTTCTCGAGTAGTATTACTTCATGTGATTACCAAGTAAAAAATATTGACAAATAGTCCGAAAAAAACCAACGGTGATTCAATGTGACAATTATAGGGAGTGAGGAATAACTTTTATCTTATTAAAAACGTCTCCTGTTTCGGAAAAGTCATAGCGAGTTCTATATATTTTTTGGAAAAAAATAAATAGTGAAACAATAAACGATAATCTTTATGATAAAGAAACACAGTAGCATACAAACAACATCTCTCGCGCTTTCTCATATCGTACACAATCTAATACGTTTACTGGTGATCATAATATCATGATTTACATTATTTGTTAATTACCAGTTCCATAGATTCTAAATTTGTCCTAGTCATAATATTTTATATTGTTATAACACACAAGGTCGGAGAAAATTTTGTCAGGAATACACTGAAGTTAATAAAATTTTATCAAGGAAAACAAATTTTATTACCCAATATATCACTGATATATTATATGTAAAATATAACTCCAATACATTTCTGATACCATGTATTCGACCTTTGTTATGTTTGTGATGCCACATATTGCTGCTCAGTTTTTGTTTTCATTTTTCCAAAATCGGAAACAAAGATATGATATTTGTATATAAATAATGTAAATTTACTGTCTGGAAGAAATCCCAAGAAAAATGAATTTCGGAAATTTAACTCAAGAAAAATTGGAAAAAGAAAAAACGGAAGTAATCAATTTTGATGTTGGTGGAACTATGGTAATAATAGTTTTCTATATTTTTTCTTTTGAAATATCCGATATTATAATATATTAATTTATTTTATTTAAAAAAAATAGTACAAAACCAAACGATCAACTCTTATTAACTATCCCACTACGTTACTTGGACAAATGGTCTTAGACGATCGCGACGAATACTTTCTCGATCGTAATGGAAGAGCATTTCATTATATTATGGAATTCTATCGTACTGGTAAACCTTTATGGCCAGACAAATCTGATGGTTTGACTTGTGAAGAAGTTGAAAGAGAATTCGAATATTTTCGAATTCCCTTAGAAAAAGAACACGCTGACACACTAGCATTTAAAGCAGCGGCTAATACTTTTGATCAAATTGTTTCCGCATTTGAGGAAGTGATAAAACGTATGTACCGAAACTTTGACGATAAGCTTTATCTGACTTTTTCCGAAAATGGGACTTCGAATTATAAAGGAGTTCAAAGAATATTTTCATCTCTTGGGGGAAAAGAATATATCTTATTGACTACTATGAATGCACAGATAAAGAAGAAATTAGAAAATACTTTTTGTGCATCAAGATTGAAATGGGAATATAAAAAGGTGGAAAGTTTTTTTTCTGATAGTTATATAGAAGTTAGTATTTCATATTTTATAAATCCTTATATTATTGCGCAATATTCTAAATATTCGTAACATCTCTTATAAACATTTGCATCCATCCCTTATGTTATATTATTTATTCATATGTTATTTTGTTAACTCTTATTTATTACTTGGAAGATTTCAAATAATAATGAATCAAATACTTTTGAATTTTGATATTTAATTTTGTTAGTTAAGGTTTTCTTTTTTTTTTCTAAATCATATCAATAAATCTTTATTTCCAAAAAAAAAAAAAAAAAATTTCCAAGTACATTTAAAAAAAATATATAAAGTATATGAAATGAGAACATGTAAATTACGTTTATGAATTTTTACACTTTCATGTTTTATAAAAGTTACTCACATAATACTGTTGCATAATCATAATCAAAAATAATTGATTAGATATTATTTCGTCGAATAATAATTATTTTATAGGTAAAAATACGCATATCATCTTTGAGTATTCTCGACGTTTGATATACTGTATATATTTCTTTATTTCCTTTACATTGCATAATTATAGTAAATGATATTATATTATCATGGTAATGATTTTCATGGCACATTCCTCTTTGATACCTGATTATACCCGATCTATAATGACTGAATGTATGTGGGGGGATGCCAAGAAATACAAGAAATAATCTCAGATCTAAATAAATTCCCATACACTGAATCTTGAATATTTCCAAAAAAAAAAAAACTGAGCAAGAGAGTTGAAATATTAATTAAATTACAAGTATCATATTTTTTGTTTCCGATTTTGGAAAAATGAAATCCTTGTCTCGGCAATATACGAATGACAAAGGTCAGACGGATATACAGGTTTCTTATTATGTATCAAAATTTACTTTACATATAAAATATGGGGTTAACTTGTACTACACCACTGTGTAGATCATTTATTATATTGTTTATTCTCATCTATATCTATCTCATTCATAATAATAAAATAATTTTTAATTTTGTTAGTTAATTTTGAAAAGTTTGCTTTTTTCCAAATCAATGTTTCTTTTTAATTCTTCAATAAATCAAACATTGCCGAAATTATGAGATTAGATTACGCATGGTTAGTACTAATCTTACATTAATACCTAATATATATGGACCTAAATATATTTATTTCGTCAAAAAGATAATAATTATTAAGAATTCACATGTATAGACCGATCGATCCTTTTGAGAAAACTAAAAATAAAAGCAAATCATTCTTGATTTTAATTATAGATATATATTTTTTTCTTTTCTTTACATGAAAATTTTAGCACATGAAATTATTAAGAAGTAATATTATTATGTACATGTGTGGGTACAAATAAATTTCACTAAATTTTGAATAAAGAATAAATTGAACGGAAATAACAATATAACCGAATACCGATAATATATAAGAAAACTTTTGCACCCAACGTTTTAGATGATCACTCAGCAAGAGAGAAGTTGAATCATATTAATTATATTTAATTATATTTAATTATTATTAATTATATAAAAAAGGAAAAAAAATTGACAGTCAATATTTATTTTATATAGCGAATTCACGAATTCACGTTGACACAGTCATTATACTCTTTTGGGAATATTGACCGAATATATATATTGAAAATATTAGTGATCGTTATTATACAACCAGGTTCATAATACAATTAATTAAAATAAAGCATGTGATTAATGATATTTTTTTTTTAAAAAAAATAAATTCGTTTAGACACTTGGCTGAAAATTTAAATCTATTTTTAGATTGTTTATTACATTATATACCATTACACGTGGTAAAAGTTAAGATTGCAATTTCACCGGTGTTTGAAATTCAAATTTTAAATCCTGTGCAGAGTTTTCAAATTTTGTGCTAGCGCACATTCCACACATTGAATTTCAAACACTGGTTTCACCCATAGCTTCTATAATAAGGCTCATTGTCTGATTTTTTGTTATGACACGCCAAAAGTATCAAAGGTCGGAACAAAATTTAAGTACAATCAATTCTATCGAAGTTAAAAATTTATTACCCTCTGATACATTAATGTAAAATACACATCCTAAGAAATTCAACCTTTGTTATGTTTTGCGTGCCATATTTTTGCCTTGTTTTTATTTTTTTCCAAAAACGGAAACAAAAGACATGATACTTGTATATATAAATAACGTCCATTTATTGTATAAAAGAAATCCAAGAAAAAATGGAAAAAATAGGAATTAATCGAGAAAGTTTAGATAAGGAACAAACAGAATTTGAAGAAATCATTCTCGATGTTGGTGAAACTAAGGTAATAATAGTTTTTTCTATATTATATTATATTAATTAATAATTTATTTATTTAAAAATAGTACAAAGTCAAACGACAACTCTCACTAAATATCCCAATACGTTACTTGGAAGAATCTTCTCAAATCCTTCAAATTGTAACAAAGAATACCTTCATAATCGTAATGGAAGAGCATTTCATTACATCATGGAATTTTATCGTACTGGTAAACTTTTATGGCCAGATGGTGTGACTTATGAAGAAGTCAAAAGAGAATTCAAATTTTCTCAGATGATGATACTTTTGATCAAATTGTTACTTATTTTGGGAAAGGGATCAATCAAATTTTTTCTAATTTTGGGAAAGGGATCATATGTATTTTATTGTTTACACTCGTCTCCCTATTTATTATATCAATATTTTTATTCTTAAACGGTAAATCATGTGAATTGCGGACAAATTTGCCTGCATTTTTTAGTAACTTGTGATGTCACTACCGTTTAAGGGATAATAATAGATTAATTAATGCAAATGACCTTGAAATGACTTTATCATGTGATAATATTATACAAATGATCTTTGAAATTTGTCATAAAACATATAGTAGCTGCGCTGCTTTAATATGTATGTCAATCTTTCGTAATGTTGGTGATGATAGAATTATATTATTCTTTTCTTTACATGATATTAAGATATGATATATTATCATGATAATGATTTTTGGTTTAGGTTTCGTGATGTAGATTATGTAACATTTCGCCCTTATAAATTAGATACTTTGATACTTAATGATTTAATGTATGTATGTGTGGTGTCGGGAATGCCAAGAAATGCAAGAAATAATTTCAGATCTAAATAAATTTTCATACACTAAATTTTGAATAAGAATAAAATTGAAATAACAACACAACTGAATAACGATAATATTATATTTATTTATTTATATAAAAGGAAATAATCACATGGTTCTTTTTTTTTTGAAAATTTAATAAAGCATTGTAGAAAATGAGTGAGGTATTTATTATTATTATTATATTTATTTTTATAGCGGCGATGTCACGTTGACATTATTCATTGAATGGCGAACCTAATCGTATATATAAATTTTTTTGAAAAAATAAGTGATCAACTCTCTCGTGCTTCTCATGAAAGCTATGACACAACGATTCATAATATAATTAGTTTAATAACTATTGACAAACTCTCAAAATTTTTATTTAATAAAAACATAACCAAGGTCACGATCCAATGTTTTTATAATAGAATTCTATCTACAGTCAACTCTCGATATAACGAAGGAATTTTTGGCTACACGTGATATTTAACCAATCAAATTTGTCAGATTTCTCTCGTTACAACAAAGCAACCATAAATAATTTTATACTGCATTTAAGGTAAAAACCTAGGGTTCTTTATATCAAGAGTTGACTGTAGTTAAGTCTATTCTTCCCACCAAACTTAACTCTAGCGTTTTAATTCTTCACTGATTGCAGAAATATTGTCATTGCTAACAATCTGTTAAATAAAGTATGTGATAAATAATATTTTTAACAAAAAAAAAATGAAATTCGTACACACTGTTACTTAAATGTTAGACTGGCTGAAATTTCAATATATTTTTATTGTTTATTTTATAAGAGATGCAAATGAATTTTCTTTCATCGACGTACTATTTGGTCTTGTACCAATGTCATTAATAGAAATAGTACAGTCCATAGTTATTCACCAATATCACAGTTTCACTTCGCTTCTGTTCACCAGTTCCATAGATTCCAAATTGGTCCATAATGGTTTCGTTGTGTTCTTTGTCTAATTGGAGCACTTCCTAATATTTTTTTTTGAAATAGCATCAAAGGACGGAATAAATTTTATACTGATAATAAAAAATTTTATCTATTAATATATTATATGTAAAATATTTAACTCTGATATCTCTCCGACCTTTGACGTTGCCATGTCCTATTTTGTAGATAATGGATTTCATTTTTCAAAATCGGAAACAAATGATATGCTAATTTGTGTATAAATAATCTACATTTACTGTATGGAAGAAATCCAAGAAAAAATGCAAAATACTCAAGAAATCCCAGAAAGAATGGAAGATACTCAACAAAATTTAGAAACTAAATTTGAAGAAATCATTTTCGATGTTGGTGGAGAAGAAATCACTTTCGATGTTGGTGGAATTAAGGTAATAAATAATTTTAATAATTCTTTTTTCTTTAAAAAATATCCGATATTATATTAAATTTAATTAATAAATTATTTATTTATTTATTTTTTTTTTTTTTTTTAAAAAAAAAAAATAGTACAGAATCAAACGATCAACTCTTACTAAATATCCTAATACGTTACTTGGAAGAATCTTCCTAAATCCTTTAAATTGTAATAAAGAATACTTTTTCAATCGAAATGGAAGAGCATTTTACTATATCATGGAATTCTATCGTACTGGTAAACTTTTATGGCCAGGTGGACATGATGGTGTGACTTATGAAGAAGTTGAAAGAGAATTTGTGTATTTTAATATTCTCCCAGAAAGAAATGACGATGAAATATTTGAAATTTTTGATCATGGTTTTTGGATCATATGTATTTTAATTATTTCGATCATCTTCCTCATTATCCTCATAATCATGGTTCTTTCGCTCTCACCATGGAAAAAAATAGAAGCTGCACATTAATACCTTATATAGAAATTAAAATGTATTAATATATAGAAATATGTAAAAATATGTATGTCGATCTTTCACATGTAAAATTCATCGTCCATATAATAATAGAATATATGTAAATCCAATTCCTTTTTTTTTTTTTTTTCTTTTGAGAAGAACTAAAAATAAAAAATAACCAGTAAGTCTGAAGATAGAATTATATATTTGTTTTTCTTTTCTTTGCATGAAAATTTTGATAATTTATTATTAAAATATGATATTAAGATAATAATAGTACATAATATTTAATTACTATTAACTTCATACATTTCGCGGATAAAACGGAGGATACCTGACCTGATTATGATTATAATGATTGCCAAGAATAATCTCAGATCTAAATATAATAATAATAATTTTACATACACTTGAATATTTTCCAAAAAAAGAGTAAAACCGAATATCACAATAACACTCTTTGTTTTATGTATATAATCTGATGATCAATTATATTAATTCTATTAAATTCTATTAAATTATATTAAATTATATTAAATTATATAAAAAAGGAAAATGAAATGACATTCAAAAAAATTCGCACGGTTCTTTTTTTTAAAAAAAAAAATTATTAAAAATTGAGGGGACAAATAATACCAATTGCCAGGTCATTAATTATTATTATTAAAAGTTATTTAAGTCAGTTATTAATGTCAATCAATTATTATTAACAAAAAAGCAAGAAAATCATAATATATAGATTGATAGATATATATATATATAAATCTGAAATTTTTATAAAATGAAAAAAAAGGGCAGTTTGCTTAGACCATGTTAGAATTAGTGAACAGGATATGACTTTCAGTAAATCATCATTTTTTTTTCTCTCATTCTAAATTCCTAAAAAGGTAAAATTTGACGATAAGTTAAAAAATATAAATATAAAAGAAACGAATTTTATATAATAAAATAAAAACGAAACAAGGATATAAAATCTTGTAACATTAAGGAACTTATTAGGTCTCATTCTTGGTGATAATATTTCTTTTAAAAGGAATATTTTAAGCTTAAATAATGATTATAGTTTATAAAGTGATTACCACACAACAAGTAATAATGATACACAAATGTATAATATATTTTTTTTTTACTATTTGTTTTTTTTTTTCGATCAAAAGATGTTCATTTAATTTGGCACGAGGTTTACGTAATTGCCCATCTGAATTATATAAAAAATTAGATAAAAATTAGATAAAATTTAAAGTTATATAAAGTTGTTTAATATTTTATATGATATTAGGTTTTTGGTATATTGTTACAGTATTAAGATATATATATTGTTCACCTCGTGATATCCATTTGATTTCCCTTTTAATAAAATTTAATAGAGATAAAGGGTTTTCCCGATAATTTAAACAATTAAACTAGAAACGTTTGAAAGTTTACTTTCATTTATAATTTCTTATGTCATCATTTAAATCTTTATCTTTATCAAATCTCTTTTACTGTCTGATACGTCTGATACAGATATTGGATAATTATTTAAATAAATTTATAAACTAAACCATAAAATTGTTAAAAAGAAAGTCAAAACGGAAAAAAAAAAACCGGATTTTTACTCGATTTTTTATAAAAGAAGTTCTAACGGTTTATTCAATTTTTTTTATTAATTTTATATATATTTATATAAATCAACGAATTTTATCATTTCAATTCCTATAAATCCTAGCCATTTTATACATTCTATCTAATTCTTACTCAAATATCAATTTTTTTACTTCCATCTTCTTTTTTTTTATATTACTTTCTTTAAAAAAAAACAATAACAAAAAAAAAAAAGAGAGAGATGGGTAAAATTCAATCCAAATTTACAGAAGAAAATAGTATTGAAATAAAAATTTTTAAAAAGAAGAATAATAATGATGATATTGATAATAATAATAATAATAATAAATCATTTTATTTATCACCTTCATTATCTTTACGTTACAAAAAAAGAAAATCAGCTAATGAAAGTTTCAACCAAATTTCTTCTATTACAACTACTACTTCTTCTTGTTCTTCTTATTCTAATAATAAACCAAGTTCAATATCATCAATAAATTCATTACCAAATGAAGATGATCATATATTTAAATATATGGGAGGTAGAAAATTTTTAATTTTCGAAGATGCTAGATATCTCCTCCCATTTGATGATGACGGTAAAAAAAAAAAAAAATATTATTATTATTATTATTAATTAAATATTTTTTGTCTTGTCTTGATTTATATTATTTGTATATTTATATTTTTGTATATATTTTTATATTATCAGAACACGCAAGACTTCAATTACAACATTTTTTATATCGACATATGTGGAATAGTAATTTTTCATCACCTGTTCATGAATTATTACAAAATTCCCATGCAACTGTTTTAGATATCGGGTAATTATTAAACTATAAAAATTAATTATTTCTTTTTTAATTATTTTTGTCTATTTATTAAAAAATAATTTTTTGTTTTAGATGTGGTACTGGAGCTTGGACGTTAGATATGGCAACCGATTATCCATTTTCAAAATTTGTCGGAATTGACATTTTTCCAATTTATCCTTTAGAAATAAAACCAAAAAATGTAAAATTTGAAATAGCCAACATATTAAATGGATTACCATATGAGGATGGAACATTTGATTTTATATTTATGAGATCAATGAATTTAACTTTTACATCACAAGAATGGGAAAATGTGGTTATAAAAGAATTAGTGAGAGTGGTAAAACCAGGTGGATGGATCGAAATTATGGAACGTGATCCTTGGGTTACTGGGGCAGGTCCGGTTACTGATAAATTTAATAAAATATGTAGGTGTTATTTCTTGTCTTATTATTTTGTTCTTTCAAATATTAGAAAATTTGTTATATCTATTTATTTATTTATTTATTTATTTATATTTATAATTATATTTATATACATTTAGGTGCTAACGAATTAAAGACCCGATACAATGTAGACCCATTTATATCACCACATATATCATCATATATGTTATCCACACAAAAATTTATGGAAATTTTTCATGAGGAAAAAAAGATGATAGTAGGTGAAACTCATGATAATCTAAGTAAAGTATGTTTGGACAATTATAAATGGTTTAGAAAAAATTGTAAAGGTTCAATTGGAACTAAAATTGAAAATTTTGATAAAATGCTTAATGAAAGTTTCAATGAAATTCAAGATAAAAAGGCATATGAAATGAGTCATCGATTTTTTGCAATGAAAAAAATAGATGAAAATTCATTAAATTAGTTTTTGGGTTTTATTCATTCAAATATTATTAATTTTACATTTCTCACATCTTTTCACACAAATTATTTATTATTTGGGAAGGTAAAAATTAGGAAGGAAAATTGTAAAATGGGGGGCGAGGGGATACAAAATATTATTTTTCAAATATACAAGTAATTTAATTAGAAAAAAAAAAAATTAAATTGATATATATATATATATATTTTTTTTTTTTTAGAATTTGTAAATAACTACTTTCTTTTTTATTTCTATAAAAAAAAAAAATGAGATAATATTACAAAATATATGTAATTCTTAAAAATAAGAATAAATTATAATTTATTGTTTGTTAATGCTGTTATCATTTATGTTGTTATCATTATTGTTATCTTTTACATTTATTTCTTCTATCAAAGAAGAAGAGAATGGTAATTTATTTAAATCTTCTTCATAATTGTTATTATTATTATTAACATCTTTCTATTTTATTCCATATTGTTCTATTTGATATTCTATTCTAGACTATTATTTTTGATGTTACATCTAATTCTTGATTATTATTATTATTATTATTAACATCTTTCTGTTGTATTCCATATTGTTCTATTTGTTGTTCTATTCCAGGTTCTATTATTTTTGATGCTACATCTAATTCTTGATTATTATTATTATTATTATTCAATATATTAACATTAAGATTATTATCCATTGATAATAAAGTATCAAGTTCCAAAGAATCAAATAACATTGTTTCATATTCATTTATAAAAGCATTTGGTTCACTAACATTGTCGTCATTATTACCATTATTCTTACCATTAATGTTGTTATTATTATTTTCATTATCATTTTTGTTAATGCTTGAAAAAACAGATGGTAAAATAAGAGGAGATCTCGAAGTAAAAGAAGAAAATTCGGAATTATTATTATTGTTATTGGTAATAATGGAAGGAAGAATGGGTGGAAGAATAGGTGTCGTTGAAGCGGAAGAAGAGGAAAATTCGGAAAATTCGGAAAATTCAGGAAGAGAAAGAAAAGAAGATAAAATATCATTATCAATATTAATATTAATATTAAAATTATTATTAATATTAAAATTATTATTATCATTATTATTATTATTACTACTATTATTGTTATTGTTATTATTATTACTGAAATCAATTGTATTTAACATATTATTTAAATTTTCATCATCAAAAATTATATTATTATCATTATTATTTCTATTTAGTAATTCGTCAAATTGAGCTAAATCTTGAGATAAATCTGTAATAATATCATTATTGTTATAATTATTTTCATTATTTAATTCTATTGAAGTCGTTAATGTTGATGATTGTTGTGAAGAAGAGGAAATGAAGTTCTCATCCACATAATTAAAGATTTCATTCGTTGAGAATTGATTGATCTTATTATTATTGTTGTTGTCATTATTATTATAATTATTTATAATCTCAGTGTCATTCTTATTGTTATTGTTTTCATTATCTTTTTTATTCTCAATAGGAATCTCATTCAAAAAATTTAAAATATTATTGTTAAATGGGTAAGGACACTACAAGATATTAAATAAATTAAAGAATTATCATATGGTACATACATAAAGAAACCAAAGAATGGAAAGAACAACATTGATCTAGGGAGAAAAAAAAATGAACTTACCGATTTATTTATACACATCATTAATTCTACAGTAAAATTAATATGAAAGGAAGAGATTTTGGATGAACATAAAGGACAACTTTCTTCTATTTCAGGCATGATTTTAAAATATCCTTGTTGGTTTTTTTTAAAAAAAATATATAAAAAAGAAATATTTTTTTTTCAAGTAGTGCAAAAGTCAAAATTATTACTAATATTTATTTGATTTACGAATTATAAAATTATGGGATAAAAAAATCTATACTACTGCTGCGGTATTACTGGTGGTACATTTAACGATGATCTTTAAAATTTAAAGTTTTTAAATATGTAGTTTAATTTTATATATATAGCTTGTTTACGTGAGCCTTAAAAAAAAATATATTTGGAAAAAAAACAAAAATGTCATCAAATATTTTACCTTTAAATCCAATTGAAAAATGGAGACCGAAAAATATATCAAATACTTCAATTGAAAAGTTTCGTTGTAAGGTTAATGAAAAGTTCAATACAAATTTAGGTTATTCTTATAATATTTATTATTATTATTATTATTATTATTATTATTATTATTATTATTATTATTATTATCATCTTATAATAAATATAAATTTATTTTTTTAACACATATTTAATTTAAATAATATTTGAAATATAGAAAATTATCAACAACTTTGGAAATGGTCAGTAGATAATATTTCTGAATTTTGGGCTACAGTTTGGGAATATACAAATATTATTTATTCAGTTCCTTATGAACAGGTAAATTAAACAACAATAATAACAACAACAACAACATACAACAACAAATAATAATATAAAGTAATTGATAAATTTAACAAAATTAAATATAAAAATATAAATTGGATGAATTGAATATAAAATTGAATATAAAATTGAATATATTTAATTTTAGGTTGTTGATTCCAAACCGATGGATCAAATTCCTACTTGGTTTTCTGGTGCCAGACTTAACTTTGCCGAGAATTTATTATGGTGTCGTGATCCTAATAAAGTTGCTATTATATCAACTGGTTAGAATTAAATTTATATTTTATTATTTTATTATTATATCTATATTGAACTAATGAATTTAAATTATAAATAAAATCAATTAATCAATTAAAATCAATTATAAATAAAAATTAATCAATTATAAAATTAAAAATCAGGTGAAGGTAGAAAAACGAAAAAAATTAGTTACCATGAACTTTACTCTAAAGTTAATCAAGTAGCCATCGCAATGAGATTAGCCGGAGTTAAAATGGGTGATCGAATTTGTGCATATATTTCAAATTGTCCCGAAGCAGTAATAGCCATGTTAGCAACTGCTAGTATTGGAGCAATTTGGAGTAGTACTTCACCGGATTTTGGAATTACTGGTGTATTGGATAGATTTTCTCAAATTAAACCTAAAATCATTTTTTCCGTAAATTATATTATATATAATGGAAAGAGTCATGATAATTTAAAAAAATTAAAGGTCATTGTGGAAAATCTTATCAAAGAAGGTTTGGAGAAAGTTATTGTTATTCCTTTTTATGAGGAAGAAGATAATTTATCACTTGATTCAATTCCCTTGGCAACTTCATGGAGTGAATTTATATCCACATCAAAAAAAGGATCAAATGAATTATCAACAAATTTAATATTTGAACAATTACCTTTTGATCATCCAATTTATATTCTTTTTTCATCTGGTACAACTGGAAAACCAAAATGTATAGTACATAGAGCAGGAGGATTATTAATTCAACATAAAAAAGAATTCATTATACATGGAAATATGTCACAAGATGATATCTTCTTTTATTATACCACAACTGGTTGGATGATGTGGAATTGGTTAATTTCTGGATTATCTATTGGGTGTACTATTGTTTTGTATGATGGATCACATTTTATACCTGGTCCTTCTGTATTATGGAAATTAGTGGAACAAGAAAGGTCAATATTTATATTTATATTTTTATCTTTAATATTATTTTTATCTCTAATATTATTTATATTTTTATATTTTATATTTTTATATTTAATATTTAATATATTGATATTGATATTGATGTTTAATATATACATCTATATTTACATTTTAATTTATTAAGACTTACAATATTTGGTACTTCAGCCAAGTATATTCAAAGTCTTCAGGATGTGAAATATTATCCTAAAAAATCTCATAATTTAGAATCACTTCGAATAATTTTCTCCACTGGATCACCATTAAATCCTGAAAATTTTGATTTCGTTTATGAATTAATTAAAAAAGATATTTTATTAGGTTCTATTACAGGTAATTTTGATAAATAATTATAAAAAAAAATAATATAAAATAATAATAATAAAATAAATCAGAATTTAAATAATAATAATAATAATAATAATAGGTGGTACAGATATTTGTTCATTATTTTGTGGTCACAATGCTGCACTTCCAGTCTATAGAGGAGAAATTCAATGTATCTGTTTAGGTATGAAAATTGAAGCTTGGGATGGTGAAAGTAAGTAAAGTATTCATTTTTATTTTCATATATTTTTTTCAATCATAAATATATAAATATTTACTTTTATATATATATATATGTATATGTTTGATCATATTTTTATAGATAATCCAAAATATGCTCAACCAGCAGATTTAGTTTGTACAAAACCATTTCCTGCTATGCCAATCTATTTTTATAATGATGATGAAAATCATACAAAATATACTAAAGCCTATTTTTCAAATTATTCATCAATCTGGTATCACGGGGATTTCATTTGGATAAATCCTAATACCCAAGGAGTCATAATGTTAGGGAGATCAGATGGAACATTAAATCCCGCGGGAATTAGATTTGGTAGTGCGGAAATTTATAATATCATTAATAATCAAAATTTTAAAGAAATCCAAGATAGTTTGGTGGTAGGTCAAAAAATTAAAAATGATGATGAGAGGGTGGTATTATTTTTAAAAATTATTCAAGGAGAAAAATTTGATGAAGATTTAGTTGCGAGGGTGAAGAAAAGAATTAGAGAACAATTAAGTCCTAGACATGTTCCGGCCGTTATTTTACCTATTGAGGATATTCCGGTATAATATCTTATCATTATTGTTGTTTTTGTTGTCTGTCTATCAAGTTATTGTCTTTATTTATTTTATAACATTTTTTTTCTGGTAATTTTTTTAGTATACCGTAAATGGTAAAAAAGTTGAAATAGCTGTAAAACACATAATTTCTGGTAACACGTTCGCTCCTTCTACTGGAACTTTGGCAAATCCAGAAAGTTTAGAATTATATTATAATATTCCACAATTGAGAATAAACAATAACTCAAAAATTTAATTTATATTTAATTATAGTAATACCAATACTAATGTAATCTATTATTACCTTTTGTAATATTTGTATTTTTTTTTTTTTGTTATTTTCTTTACAAAATAAATTTTAATATTAATTAAGAATCTTTCCTCTCTTCAAATTAAAGAAAAAAAAAACACTCATTAATCTCATTACAAATGACTATTCATAATGTTACTTAATTTATTTATTTAAATTTTGCAGTGAAAATATTTATTTTCAAGTTTCAAGTTGTTGACGTGTAGCACGATCACCTCTCCTTGCACCACGAGGACGTTCAGCTAATGTATTAAGTGCAACAGGAGCTGATACCGTAACTCCAGCCAAATTTTCAAAGTTCAAAGCTTTAAGAAGTTCCTAAAATGAAAATAAAATAAACAAAATAATGTTTGTAAAATTGTCTCCTTCCCTCTTTCTATACACACACGTACTATATATAAATTAAATGTATTAAAAAATTAATTTTACCTTAGTATCGGGATCAATTTCAATATTTTCAACTTGCAAAGCAGAAACCTCTGGGACGTAATTATCTTTACGTTCACGCTCTTCTTCTTGCAATTTGAAAGATATACCACGAACTGGACCACGTTGAATACGTTTCATTAAATGGGTGGTAAAGCCTGCAATCTTGTTTCTAAGCCTCTTAGATCTAATAACACAAATAACCACCCATAAATATATTTATAATAAAAGATTAATCTTTTTTCATGAAAACAAAAGAATATTCATATATATGTGTATATATATATACTGTGTTACATATAATATAAAATAAAATTGAAATAAAACTTTACGGAATGATAGCAACTTCATCACATATCTAAATTAATATATAATAATGAATTAATATTAGAAAATTACATTTTTTTTAAAAAAAAAATATTTTTTTTCGGTAAAGTAAATATTTAATAATTTTAAATGTGAACTCACTTTTTTATTTGTTTGAAAGTCAAGGGTAAGGCGTGGATAATATTTTTCAATAATTACACGGGATCCCTTTAGAAATTAAAATTAATAAAAATTTAATAAATTACACAAACAAAATAAATTCTCCTATCAAAAAAAAAATTAAAAATAAAATAAAAATCTCAGAATATATACCCTCTTAACGGTCTTTGTTCTGACACGACCCTAATAATAGTAGTGATAAATAATTATTAATAAATCATTAAATATTAAAATATTAAAAATATCAATTAAACTTTTTTTATTGATATTATAATAATTATCAAAGGAAAAATGAATTAAATGAATTCGATGCGATAATCATTATATGATTAAATAAAAAAAAAAAAAAATGTAATTATATTTTATTCAGTTTTACAATAAAAGGATGGATGTATTTTGGCAATTTTAGAAAAAAAAATTTGATTTTGCAATTTAAAAGTTTTTATAATTTTGATGGTAAAGGAATATTATATAAGAAAAAAAACAATAACGATGATGATGTAACGGAAAGAATATTTCTTAATAAATAAATAGAATTTATGAAATGCTTTATATACCTACCATATTGACTTTCTCTCAATTTAAATATATAAAAAAAAAAAAGGAAGAACCAAAAATTGATTTTTTCCATTATTATAAAAATTTTATTATCACATGTTTGATGAATCGTCCAATCATCTTTGCTCGTAATTTTGACAGACAACCTGTTACACAAGACTTTTGTATTATTTTCTGAAATAAATGGCTTTTTTGCTGCAATATGGAAATGAATCCTAGCATTATATAGTGTTTTTTTAGCAGTTGTTAAATTGCAGCTTAAATCTAACTTATTGATAATTTTGTGCAATGGTGCATGTCATATTTTTGTGACTTCATTTATAAGTATATCTTTTTTATCATTATTAAAGACTGGAGAAGAAAAGGAGAGTTTTTCAGCTAAGGTATTAGCATCGGCTAGCTGATGCAAGCTCATCTTCTACTATATTGATCTTTTTTAGTTATTGTATAGCTTTTTGATCTTTTTCACCTTGAAATATGTCTAGAAATCTATATTGCTTTCTTGTTTAGCTGGAGTTTTCAGAATCTTAATTTTGATGATGTTTGTTTTATAATTTAGGTCATATTTTCATTAGATAAAAAATATATTGTATAGCTATCAAACCTTTAACCATTTTTTTAACGTCTAAAAAACATTATAAATTTCTTGCTTAGTTTGAATCTCTGAAATCTTAATTTTGATAACAATTAATTTATGTTTTAGCTCCATTTGGAAGGTATAATACAAAATACAGTAAAGCATTTAGCCCCATCTGGAAGGTATAATGCGGAACGCAGTGGAGCATCTAGGCTCACCTGGAAGGTTCTGATGTGAAGTATAACGGAGCATTAGTTATTATTATAGATTTCTTGCCCAGTTTAAGTTTGAAAAAAGAAAAATAGTAATCTGCCTATTAACAGTTACTAATTAACTATACTTATCTGAACACGAAAGACAAAACTTCATTGTTTTACAATACTTGTGAGTGAACAGGAACGAGAATGAATTTTTATTGTAGTATTTTAATGTATAGTAGTTATCAGCATGTTTCTTACATCAATCAGGATTAGCAGAAGTAGGCTTTCCACATATAAAATAGGGTATACGAGGTTTTGACAAATAATGTTTCCAACAGTCTTCAGCTTTGTGACAAAGTCTGTTACATAAAGAACCATTATTGTGGAGATATCAGCAAATATAGAATAGTATTAGTATAAAATATCTTGTAATATTATTAATTAATTATTCACTAAATATAATAATTTTTAATTTAGAAAAAAACATGGTTATATGTAACAAATAAAAAAACTATACATTTATTATGGCCGAACAAAATACCAATACAAATTTGATTACAGCAAAAGATATTGAAAATGTATTGCTTGAAGTCTCAAATAGTGTTAGGAATCGTGAATACAAAATCACAATTAATCAACTATCAACTATATAGTCGAGTACAAATGTTAATGGACAATTAATCGTGATTAATCGACAATTATAAAAATTGTGATTAATTGTGAATAATCGTGATTAATTGTTATATTTTTCTTTTATAATATTATAATTATATTTTCAAATTTTATTCTTTTTTTATAATTATAATATTATAATTATAATTTTGATAATGATAATTTTTTTTTTTATAGATTTCTTCCAGTTAACATGAACAAACCAATAATAATAATTGAACCTCGGGAGAATCAGGCCACTGCTAAAAAGGAGAGAAAGAAACAGCACAAAAACACAGGGGAGAGTGGAAGAGAAAGTAGAAAAGAGGATGAAATCGAGATCACTGAAGTTAACGAAACTGCTGAAATTATGATCGCAGAAGATCACGAACATTTAAAAGAAAGGAGAAAAGGGGGAGGGAAAGTGCTAGAAGAGAAAAAGGTGAAGAACTCGGTAAAAGGAAAGAAAGAAGAATAGAAAAAGGTGTGGAGAAAGGAAAAAATAAAATCATTCAAATTGCTGAAATTACTGAAATTACAGTTGCGAAAGGTCACAGATATTTAGGAGAAAGGATTAAGGGAGGAAGGGGAAGAAGAAAAGAAGAGAATGGCAGAAGAGAAGAGAGTGAAGAACTTGAGGAAAGAAAAATAGAAAAAAAAACAGGAGAAAAAGAAGCAGAAAAAAAAATAAAAAATAAAAT